ACACACACACACACACACACACACACACACACACACACACACACACAAACCCACCAGTTACACAAAATTATTACCGTCCACAACAGTATTAAAAATTAATCATCAATAGGGAAATTTACTGTAAATGGAATATTAAATGTTGCTTTTATTGACAAAACCTACAGAAACAGGTTGTTTCACTGTCTTCTTTCCCATGGCTATGAGCGGAACAGCATAGCCGAACCAGCTCATGTCTGGAAAAAAAAAAAAAAAAAAATGAAAGATGCGACACAAGAAACGTTTTCTTAAATATCAACAAAAACCATTCCACACTGAAACACTCTGTGAAACAAAATAAAAAAAAAAAGAAAAGAAAAAAGTTGTATTTGCAGCTGTTTATATGCAGCATCCAAACTGCAAACAACACATATGAGAAAATGTGCAACAGTCTATCACACAAACACAATATTCTTACTTAAAAAATGGTTGAAGAAGCAGTCCTCCCTCCCATACATCTCAGATGGCTTCATGATAATGAGTTCAGGAAACTCTTCTCTCAATAGTTCCTCACCTATGGCCTATAATAATAAAAAGTACACACAAGATCACTTTAACCCTTCACTGCAGCCAAAGTTTGCTTAATACTTGTAACACTTGTTTATCTGGCTGAGAAAGGTGTGCAATAGATCCAGGAACAGTCTGCTACCTTGTTCCTCAGGTACTTGGAAGGGCTGCATAGATCAGCGTTGAGGTGTGATATATGAATACACTTTTTGACTCCAGCTTCTTTTGCTGCCCTGGCAATTTGTTGAGGGATGGTCACAAAGACATCTTGAAAGCAATAGTTTCTTTATTTAAAAACACAAACACAAATAAACGTTAACAAGGAAATCAACAAGACTTGAATGATTAATTTTTTTTTAAAGTCTCAAAATTACCAACTACATCTACTTAATATCATCTAAAATGTGTCTTTTCTCCCAGAAGAGCACACCTTGTTTCCCATTCTCTGCCCACCAGATTGATGACCACGTCGGAGTACTCCACGGCCCGTTTAATGGAGTCTTGGTCCCTTGCATCCCACTCCTTTCAAACAATAAAAAGCAAAATAAGGCAACAATTATTGGATTTAAGCCTTAAGCTCAATTTTAGCTATACCATTTCTGTGAGAGAAACATGCATTTTACCACAAAAGTGATTTGCCCAAGATCTCCAATAGGCTTCAGGTGACCGAGGTCGTACCGATCACAGCGGTAAGGAATTATAACCTGAGAGCCGATCCGACCTGCAACACAGTACAACATTATTTTTTTTTTTTCATTTAGCCTTTATTTATCCAGGTTAGTCTCATTGAGCCACGAGAACTCATTTTCAAGAGAGACCTGTTTAGGGAGCACATGGTGGGGTTAAGGACCTTGCTCATGGGCCCAGAGTGGGGCGAATGAGGGTGGGGGTAAGTGTGGGTGTTTCATCTACCCCACCCACACAATTTTTGATGTTGTCGGGGCCGGGGCTTGAACCGGCGATCTTCGGATCACAAGCCCACCTCTCTAACCTCTGCGCCACCACTCCCCACAACATTCAATCTATTAAGAGGCCTGGGACGTCCAGAAGTGGAAACTTGAATAACGTTCCTACTTTTATAGGAGACCACATTTAAGTGACACAAACATCAGATTGAGAGCCTTCATCTAATCAATTTATCAGCCAGGAACTGATCACTGACCGACTGACAGAAATTGTTTATGAGAACAGGCAGCATCAGAGGTCAGTCCCAGGTCAACCTGCTCCTGCTGGTCACAAAACTGGACCGTACCAGGAACGGACCCCATACCAAGATGGGCCCAGTGTATCCCTATGAAGGCCAACCTGTGTTAACCGGACAAATGATCAGATCCTCCCTTATACAGGTCCTTCTAAAAAAATTAGCATATTGTGATAAAGGTCATCATTTTCCATAATGTAATGATAAAAATGAAACTTTCATATATTTCAGATTCATTGCACACCAACTGAAATATTTCAGGTCTTTAATTGTTTTAATACTGATGATTATGGCATACAGCTCATGAAAACCCAAAATGCCTGTCCCAAAAAATTAGCATATCATGAAAAGGTTCTCTAAACAAGCTATTAACCTAACCATCTGAATCAACGACGTAACTCTAAACACCTGCAAAAGATTCCTGAGGCTTTTAAAAACTCCCAGCCTTGTTCATTACTCAAAACCGCAATCATGGGTAAGACTGCCGACCTGACTGCTGTCCAGAAGGCCATCATTGACACCCTCAAGCAAGAGGGTAAGACACAGAAAGAAATTGCTGAACGAATAGGCTGTTCCCAGAGTGCTGTATCAAGGCACCTCAGTGGGAAGTCTGTGGGAAGGGAAAAGTGTGGCAGAAAACGCTGCACAACGAGAAGAGGTGACCGAACCCTGAGGAGGATTGTGGAGAAGGGCCGATTCCAGACCTTGGGGGACCTGCGGAAGCAGTAGACTGAGTCTGGAGTAGAAACATCCAGAGCCACCGTGCACAGGCGTGTGCAGGAAATGGGCTACAGATGCCGCATTCCCCAGGTCAAGCCACTTTTGAACCAGAAACAGCGGCAGAAGCACCTGACCTGGGCTACAGAGAAGCAGCACTCGACTGTTGTTCAGTGGTCCAAAGTACTTTTTTCGGATGAAAGCAAATTTTGCATGTCATTCGGAAATTAAGGTGCCAGAGTCTGGAGGAAGACTGGGGAGAAGGAAATGCCAAAACGCCAGAAGTCCAGTGTGAAGCACCCACAGTCAGTGATGGTCTGGGGTGCCATGTCAGCTGCTGGTGTTGGTCCACTGTGTTTTATCAAGGGCAGGGTCAATGCAGCTAGCTATCAGGAGACTTTGGAGCACTTCATGCTTCCATCTGCTGAAAAGCTTTATGGAGATGAAGATTTCATTTTTCAGCACGACCTGGCACCTGCTCACAGTGCCAAAACCACTGGTAAATGGTTTACTGACCATGGTATTACTGTGCTCAACTGGCCTGCCAACTCTCCTGACCTGAACCCCATAGAGAACCTGTGGGATATTGTGAAGAGAAAGTTGAGACGCAAGACCCAACACTCTGGATGAGCTTAAGGTCGTTTTCACACTAGATAGTCCGGTAGACTCGGTTCGGGACAATATTCATGAGCTTTTGTTTACATTTGAGCTGGTGCGTTTGCATTCACACTGCACTGTGCAGTCGAGTCAACCTGTTGAACCAACCTATTCCCCCACTCGCCTGTGGGGGTGCTGCACCAAGAACTACTGAAAGAAACGACACAAAAACCTCTGAAGACACGTCTTCTTCTTCTTCTGTAAATAAAAATAAAATGAAGTGGCATCAAGTTTTAGGAGTTATATTTTGTCATTTTTCAAAAATGGACTTAGCATGAGCAGAAGATGAGACAGAAGACCATGGAGAATATTGTTTTTCCACACAAGGCAGCTGACGGCTCCATATAAGGTCAGAGAAATGCGTGTTTGTTTACCCTGCGGTGCGGGGCTCGGTCTGTTTACATTCACACTGTACTCGAACTGCGCTGGAGTTCGCTTCTACCAGACTGAGACCTAGGTTTTAGCCCGGGCCAGAGTTCGCCTTTTTGTTCCGTGACAGAGGTCGATGGCGCGTTCACACCTCCCTAAACGAACCGGACTTTCTAGGAAAACGAGCTAGAGTTCGATTAAAGTGGACTAAACAGTGCTAGTGTGAATGCACCCTAAGGCCGCTATCGAAGCATCCTGGGCCACCATAACACCTCAGCAGTGCCACAGGCTGATTGCCTCCATGCCACGCCGCATTGAAGCAGTCATTAATGCAAAAGGATTCCCGACCAAGTATTGAGTGCATAACTGAACATGATTATTTGAAGGTTGGCGTTTTTTGTATTAAAAACACTTGTCTTTCATTGGTGGGATGAAATATGCTAATTTTTTGGGACAGGCATTTTGGGTTTTCATGAGCTGTATGCCATAATCATCAGTATTAAAACAATTAAAGACCTGAAATATTTCAGTTGGTGTGCAATGAATCTGAAATATATGAAAGTTTCATTTTTATCATTACAATATTAAAAATAATGACCTTTATCACAATATGCAATTTTTTTTAGAAGGACCTGTACAGCTGTAGCCAGCCTGGAAGGAATGGAGCTGTAAATTTTGGAAGCTGTCAGTTTCAGCCAATGAGAGGCGATCTGTTGAAGATAACAAGTTGGACCAGAAGAAATGGAAACTGAACAGAAGAATCACTTTGCTTCTCAAGGATTCAAGGTTCTTTATTTGTCGTACACACCACGTGGTACATGTGGTGGAATGAAATTGTGTACACAGGGTCCTAGTTACATCCAACAAAATATTAAGATGTAAAAGAAAAACTAATAAGATCCAAGATATGAACAAAGAAAAATGTAAACTAAAAATACACTAAGCACCAGCAGCACAAAAAAAAAAAGAATATGCCAAACAGCAGCACGAACATGAGTCTGTGTGAGCAGATGACTAAAAATGAACACAACGACATGAAACAAGTCAGCAGCATGATGTGATTTTTCACTGTGATTATTCTGGTTAGATATTCATGAGTCCAACAGCCTCAGGGCAGAAGCTGCTCCCCAGTTCAGTGGCTCCACACCCAATGCTCCTTAACCTCCTTCCTGAGGGGAGCGGGGCAAAAAGTGTGTGTGCATAGTGAGTGGGGTCCTTCATGATGCAGGTGGCCCCTTTCCTGCATATAAAGGTGTAAATGTCTGTGACGGTGGGGAGGCTGATTCCAACTGACTTCTGTGCAGCCTTCAGCACTCTCTGCAAAGCTTTTCTTTCTGCAGCTGTTCTGTGTGTGTGTTTAAAGTGTAACTTTTTCTTTTTTCATAACCCTAGAAAGGAGGTGTCTGGTTGGTCCTCTTTGTTTGAGACATGAAGTAGGAGGAGTTTGTATGTTGTATCTGTGTATGCATAATTATGACAGTAAATAAAATAAAAATGCTTATGCACAACAGAAGGCTTTTTGACTGGGGACTTTTTTTGAGGTTGACACATTCAACTTTACTATAACTTTTTTGTGTTGTGAAAACATTTGCTGTGATGTTAACAACTTCTTGAAAAAAAATGTTAGAAGAGTTAACAATAAAATTTGTTTTTCTTTTGGAAACTCACAGAGCCTGTTGACCACATATCGACCCAGGAAGCCGGTGGCACCAAACACCGTGACTGATAGTCCACTGGATGACAAGTGTTCTCTTTTCCCTTTGGGGATGAAGGAATCGTGCAGTTTCCTCTGCTGAACTGCAGCTGCAAATACAGCAGGGGAACAGCTGCCTGTGGAAGACAGATATCAGTTTAGTTTAAATAAAAAAGGTAAAAGATGGCATATGTAATTTTAGCTTTGTTAAGTTAAGATGAATGACAAATGACAAACTTAAGATGTATTAATTACTATAGAATTCAAACAGTAACTTTTCTAATGCGTCATATTACAGTACGTTTTTTTCCTCACAAAATAAATTGTACTGAAGTTTTGCACACTCATGTTTAACTGTGCTTCTAATAAGCCTTTCTGATTTTTTTATACAGATATTGAGCATTAGTTCACCAGGATTAAAGACATTATTTTAATAATTTCAAATTTAGATAAAACATAATAATTTTCAGTGTAATCCTTGGACATTATATTAAAAAATATATATTTTTTAGCTGTTCATGACTTTTGAATTGGACAAACCACAAAATGGTACAACAGTGGATAAATGAAGATTTATTAAACCTGTATACTTTTATCAAAGTGGATGAATAATGTAATACAACAACTATAACATTAGGTTTGTAAATATTCGTACTAATCCAGCTGCAACTTTTTGTTTCACCCACTGAATTTGTGATCATCTCACCTGGCAGTAGTAAGTTGTAATGGGAACCTGCATGGATCATAAATTGAATTAACACACCCAGAATTCCATTTATTTATTTGTTTACTTTCTAGTTGAGAGATAATCATGGCATAATTTTGTCCCTTTGCTCTAAGGCATGCTTGACTTTTCTAAGGGTACAAAAAAGTAATTTTCCACAACACAATGGACCGTTAGTTCGTTTTCAACTACCTATACACAACAAATCAACCAGTTTGATTCATCAGTACATTTTTTCAGCAGCAAAAAATTGAAATTGTCATGCAAATAGTAAGCCCTCAATTTTTGGGGTGAATAAAGATTTAAAGGATTTTAAAAACATCAACTAAACACTTAACTTTGTATGGATTAAAACTTTTCAGATTGTTCAATGACAATTTGGGGCATCACTTATCTTAAAATGTTTCTTTTTATAACGCTGTAGCTTTCACATTTTATTTGAACCCAAATACATATGTTCAATCGAAATCATTTGCTTGGACATCCAACTTTGTGAATTTTTTTTTTTTTTTTCATACCTAATATGCGTATTAACGCAAGAACCAGTGTTTATATCTAGTATACATTTCGCAACTTGTTGCTGTAAATTAACACTTAGTAAGTATCAAGTTAACTATCTTTATATTTTAGCGTCAATCCGTTGTTGGCAACAAGAGATCTTTGATGTTGTACTTCAGAGCTGCACAAAAAGGAAGAGGAAACCCGAGCTGACACGTTACCCTGTGTTACGAAACCCCCAGTCCCAAATAAAACAAACAAACAAACAAACAAATAGTGCCCAGCTGCGATCACTGCAGCTGCTAGGATGATTAGCGGTCGGCCTGTTAGCAACAAGGTCACGCCAGCTGAAAATCTGATTAAATGCTAAATGGTGGTTGTAGTGATAAATAAATATGCATATAAAGATATACTATTGACCTGAAAGACGTGTCATATTCTAATTCCCGCTGCAAAATTACTCACGTGAAATCTTCGAAAGGACACCAGCAGGACGGCTAAGTAATATTATGGTCGCCATGTTCTTCTTCTTTTTTTTTTTTCTTCTTCTTCTTGTTTTATTGGCGGTTGGCAAACAACTGAAGGAAGCATTACCGCCACCAACTGGTAAGGAGTGTGGACCGCATGACAAAAAATAAAAATAAATAAATAATAATAATAATACTAAACCCTCTCTTTCCTTTTAGATCTTATCATACAACCTACACCGTTTTAAATAATAAAATATAGCTTGATAGCCTCTGTTTCCTGAATCTTTCTGCAATAAATCAATAATGTCTAATTTCATTTTCATTTTACTAAGATGTCTAATCAACTTGTTTCTTTGAACCTGGTATCTCCTGCAATGCAATATAATGTGTTCTATGGTTTCCTCTTCTCCACACTCACATGTCCCTGTTTGATGTTTCCCTATTAAACATAATGTGCTGTTCAGTCCAGTATGCCCAATTCTGATCTTCTTCTTTTTCTTCTTCTTCTTTTAATTTATTGGCGGATTGCAAACAACTTTCAGGTGCATACCGCCACCTACTGAGCTAGAGTGTGCAACTCCTGACCTCTGTCCCTAAATTCTGCTTATTATGTTATTGTTTTTCAAATATGCAACCAACGCTTTTCTGACATCTTTTATCTTATCCTTCTCCCCTTCATTTCCTAAAATTCCTCCTAAACTCCAAGCTCTCCCTTTCTCTTTGACTTTTCTTTTCAGTCTCTCCCTTTCTTCCGTATATTTAATGCATTTCATCAGAACATGTTCCACACTTTCTGTTTCCCCACATTCCTCGCATCTATTGTTATTCCTTTTACCCATTATGAACATTGTGTCATTAAGTAATGTGTCTCATAAGTATCACCTCCTCTCTTCTACTTCTTTCTCTAAACATCCTGATGCATGCTCAGATCTTTCTCTAAACGTTGTTATTTTAACTGATTTTTGGATCCTGAATAATTTTCTTCCTTTCTTGTCCTCATTCCATCTCTTTTGCCATTTATTTAGTTCTTGTCTTTTAATAATTGATTTACCCTCTCCTTTACCTAATGGAATATTAGCTGTTATTTCTCTCTTCAATGCTGCCTTGGCAAGATCATCCGCCCTTTCATTCCCTTCCACCCCTTCATGTGCTGGCACCCAACAAAAACGCACATCTATTCCTCCTCTGTGCAACCTAAATAATGCATGTTGAATTTCTAAAATGAGGTATTTCCTATTGTTTCCGTTTGACTTTATACTTTCTATTACCGCTTTTGAATCTGTGAATATTGCCACTCTTTCTGGTCTAACCTCCTCAATCCATTCCAAACTAAATATAACTGCCACAATCTCAGCCGTGAACACTGAAATGTGATCTGAAATTCTTTTGATAATACAAACTTCAAATTCTGGTATGAAGACTCCTATTCCCACCCTTCCCTGATCGTTTTTTGATCCATCTGTATATATTTCTAAGTAATTGTAATATGTTTCTTTAATATATCTGCTAGATTTCACCCCTATTTCATTACCTTTCCATTCTTTTTTCCATTCTAGTAATTTTTGTCCACTTTACTTTCAGGGATTAGCCAGGGTGATATAACACTTTTTGGATTACTCCTAGCAAATTCTATATTTTCTATCCCATATATTTCTGCTAATTTATTTATTTTCCATCCAAATCCTCTTTCTTGATATTTGTACAGTCGCCATCTTTGTAACTACGGTAGCAGTTCAGGACAAAATTAATCTTCTTCTTGTGGTGTTTTTTGGCGGTTGGCAAACAACTTAATGGTGCATTACCGCCACCAACTGGTAAGGAGTGTGGATCAGGATTCTAATATCTAGACTAATTATACTGGGGGGGAACAAACAAACAAACAAAAAAACCAAATCCTAGAAAATACTTTAGTTAATTAAATCCTTCCAAATAAACCAGTATTTCGAAGAAACTGCAATATCAACAGATAACATTTTTCTTCCCTCAACACTTCTGATAATTTGTATCTTGTTTGAATCTCTTCAAGATTTCGGGTAAGAATATATCGTTCCTTATCATATTTATTACAGTTTAACATAACGTGGTCTACTGTTTCTTCCTGGCCACAAAAGCCACAATTTCCTGTATTATTTCCCCCCATTTTAAACAGTGTGCTGTTCAACCCAGTGTGTCCAGTTCTGAGTCTTGATATTATTATATCTTCTCTCCTGTTTTTCCTCCCACTTCTAATTTCTCCTACCTTCCTTTGCATTTTATAAAACCATCTTCCTTTTCGTTCTTCTTCCCATTGTTTCTGCCATTTTTCCTTCAATTTTTGTTTGATAATGTTCTTAGTTTCTAATCTACTGAAATTAATTTCCATATCGATAGTAATATGTTTTGTGGCTTCTTTTGCTGCTTTATCTGCCATCTCGTTTCCATTTATTCCGATATGTGCTGGTATCCACAAAAATTCTACTATGAGTCCCATTTTTTGTATTCTGTATAGTGTCTGCTGAATTTCTAGAAGAATATCTGGTCTACTTTCTGAGTTACTGTTGTTTTAAACTTTGCAATGATGAGCTTGAATCCGAACATATTATTGTTTTCAGTTGTCTAATGTCCTCTATCCATTGTACTGCTAAAAGTATTGCAAGCAGTTCCCCTGTATACACCGAGAGTCTATCGTTAATCCTTTTATTAGTTGAGACATAAAATTCTGGAATAACAAATGCTATTCCCGTCTTATCATGTGAATCCTTGGATGCGTCTGTGTAGATTTGAACGTAGTCATAATAGCTATTAATATAACTTTGTATACTATGGTGATTTAAATTGTATTTCTTATCTTTCTTCTTTTCAAGTATTGAAAAGTCAGTTTTAACTTCAGGGAGGATCCATGGATGTATTACAGGTAATGGGACAGTTGGACTAATAACAAGTTGAGTCACTCCTATTTCTGCAGCTTTCTGTTCTACTGACCATCCAAAGCTTTTTATTTTTTTCCTCTCCTTCTCCCAGCAGGGTTTTAGGGTGTTATGTGTTGGATGAAAGTGATTATGGCCTTGCAAACTTGCCCAGTAGGTTACTGATAACTGGGATCTTCTTAACTCTAATGGCATTTCCCCCATTTCTACCTGTAAAGCTGCCACTGAAGTTGTTCTAACAGCTCCTATACAAAGTCTTAATGCTTGATGTTGAATGCGATCAAGGTTTTTAAGAACCGAATCTGCTGCTGATCCATATACCACACATCCATAATCTAATATTGACCTTATCAATCCAGTATAAATAGCTTTTAATGCAATTCTGTCTGCACCCCATCCACTTCCTGTTAAGCATCTCATTATATTTAGAACTTTCTTACATTTATCTAGAATGTTTTGAATGTGTATCTTCCATGTTAGTTTTTCATCTAACCATATTCCCAACAATTTAATATATTTTACTTTCTCTAATTCCTGGTTATAGAGTTTGAGTTTTAATTTGCATTCATTTCTTTTTCTTGTGAAAAACATTACTTTTGTTTTATCAGTTGAAAATTTTACTCCCCATTTATATGACCATTCTTCTACCTTTGTAAATAGCCTCCTGCATTTTTTTAACAATAAATTCCAAGTTCTTTCCTCTTTTCCAAATTGCTCCATCGTCCGCAAAAAGAGAAACTCCCATCTCATTTCCAATTTCATAAAACATATCATTGATCATTATCGAAAATAGTAGAGGACTCACTATACTTCCTTGAGGTGTCCCATTCTCAACAAAATATTTTTGAGAATAGCTCTTTCCTACTTTAACTTGGATAGTTCTGCCCAACAAAAAATCCTTGATCCATCTAAACATACGACCTGAAATACCCTATTTACACAGCTTAGTTAACAACCCCTCTGTAGTGGACTAGGCCTACGTCGAAACTAAGTCTAAGGTCAAAACTCTTGACCTTTAGAACCTTGTGGGACAGGAACTGTCATTTCATGTATTTGAATACATAAATACAGGTTCACCCATCCTGAGACTTTCTCTCTTGAAGATTCAAGTGAAAAGAACACTCTCTTTTTATTATCATTACTATCTTACAAATGTTGATAATCAAAGTGTCTTAGTTCAAACCATTTTAGATGTTGCAGTGAACTAATCAATTTTATTAACTGAGTAATGATTTTTATTCTCATGTTAAAAGCTGTTACAGAGTAATTATGCATTTTTCTGATTTCTGCTTTTGAATGAGCAAGTGTGTGCGTTTACAAGGTTACAGTCAAACGAAAAACAAGTTGTTATGTTAAAACTGTCATGTTTTAGAATCCTCTCAGACGTAAGTAGAGATGTTTTGCACCTGTTTCCTGAAACACGTCAAAACAAAACCCTCTCGGTCTGTGAGAACATTTCTGAGCTGTCCCATAACAATTCTCGCTGTCTCTAACCTCTTACGTCACAAAACCCACCCCGTCTGGTCGTTTCTGACCAATGAAAAATCCCAAAAAGTGAACCGGGAAAGAGTCTTTAAAATGTCAGTACTTCCTGGTCTACACAGACTCACAGCCACACAGAGTTAGAGAGTTGGAGAGTTGTCGGAGTTCTAAGAGTTCTGAGAGCGTAGAGTTCGGTGAGAGTCTACTCAAGCTCTGCTGAGTTCTGATGGAGTGCTGTTGGAGTTCCTGACATGACAACAAAGCTCTCCCGAGTTCCATGGGATTATAACATTTTCCACTGAGGTGAATATGTGTCGAACAGAGCCTCGCCATTACTTCGGACGAGTAACAGCATCCTACTGAGACGCTGAAAGGGTGCGTTAAACGGAATCTCACCTGAGACATCTCCAGGTAAAGGAGCCGATTTCATCACCTAAGTGTACTGTAAGGAAAAGCTGAAGAAAGCCGGAGAGTGTCGATTCTGGTGAACACTTAATTTCCCTCACATACCATCTTAACTCCCTCTAAACTTCTTCCCATCTTTAAACTTTTCTATCAAGTAGAAATTCTTCCAGATATTTAGAAATGTCTGTGTAAAATGCTCACCCACATTCATGTGGGTAAAAGATCATAGTTGTACAGTTTTCATAAATGTCTTTGGTGCAGCAACGGAAAAATCATGGCCGTA